GAGTTACTGACAAGCGCTTGGATGGGAATAATGCTCAAAGTATTTGACAAGGAGAATTCTAAGCTGGATCTTATCGCTAGGACATAAACCACAAATTGTAAGTACAAGACATTTCCATGGGAATTGACTAAATTTTCAAATATTAGATCCACTTTGAGTTTTCCCGAAAGTCTACAAGATTAAATTCTTTCCATTTTTCTTGAAGCATACAATTATAGGTAAAACAAGAGCCCTTTGTTGGACAAGAATTTCAATTATATGTGCTTTCTTGGAGGAAATAATGGTTACTACTTTGGAGTGATACAACTTAACAACTCTTCTCATGGGCTGGAAGCTTTATGGAAAGGTGAGTATCGGGAAAATCAAGTTGAAGGCTTTTGATTTGGGAGGCCATCAAATTACATGCTGAGTTTGGAAAGATTATTATTCGAAGGTATTTATTATCTTTGCAAAATTCTACACCTGCGGTAGTTGATTTACTCGAATTACCTGTCAAATGCAATAAGAGGTTTAGCCTTCCCTTAATTTAGTATGAGTATTGCTTGGGTTACAAAGGTGGGGCCAGATCACACAAAAAGGGGGCGCGGGAAAATTTTGAACCAATTTTTAATCAAGTGGGTCCCGCATTGGGACCCACCTCATGTGAGGGTCGGTAAGAGGTATGTGAACCAACCCTCTGTGCATTTGGCTTAATTCATTTAGTATTTGAAACTAATGTCTTAAGAAAAATGATTTAAGAAGATTTCTTACGGCCTGATGTAAAAATATGTAATGCAAAGTATGCACCTTTTTGTACTTGATTTCTTCTAATTTTGACTGCAATCATAGTTAATTGAAGCTTGATAATAGTTCATTTTCACTACAAACTTTTCTAGACTGTATGTAAAGGAAATTCTAGCCCAAGGAATAATGGAGCTGGAGTTGTGCTTCTTATGAAGAGAAGTGTTACAACATAGAAAGAAATTCCAATTCTTGGTTTATTTAGGTGCTTAAGTTTGATGTAACTAATGTTTAACACAAATAATTTTTGGTTATTTATATTATTACGTAGCCAATTATATTATGGCATGTGCCTTGCACGTGCGTCTCATTAGTATTTTGACAAATATGACTTTTAATTATTTATTTGTTGTGGTCCTTTAATTTTCGGAGAAGACCTCCTTAGTCCATACATTTGTTTAATAGTTATTATTATCCTTTTTTATCTTTTGGTGTGTCAATTTGATAAATATATAAAAAAAAATTCTTAGATGTCATTTCACGAACCCGTTGACACCACCAAATAATTAAAAGAAAAGGCCAAAAAATATTATTTTTACTAGAAAAATTCCCCATGGATCTCACCTTTCACGATCACATGGTGCCCAATCAAAAAGCATCAAAAGGGATTGTCGTTAGTGGTTAAGATGTCTTTTCTGTAATTAAAAAAAATCTTAAATAATTGTTCTACCAATTTGTTTGTACTTTACTATTATTGATATTAATTTATAGGAAATTTCAACTCTTTGGAGAATCCCATAAACATGTTGGAATATTTTAGTAGACCAATTATTTTTGGTTGACAAATTGCTATGACCAATTAGAAATGCATAAAGTTAACATTCACAAGCTTGCACGAGTTCGAGGTAGGCTCCATCTTGATGGTTATGGAATTTCTAATTTAAACTCTAACATAGATTTTCGTTGACGAACTTCAACCACAGAGAATTACTTAATTGAAAATTAAGTTTGCCAGGGGAAAAAAAAGAACTTTAGAATCATATGTGACAAAAGAAGCATGCTCAAAGTTGCATTCTTTTCATATTCATCCAATAGACATGTTTATGACCACATTTGTTTCGACGAAAGGAGGATTTTCTATCCACTACAAAACTTAAAATCATTCATTAAAATAGGATCATACTAATACACAATGTTTTATGGAGTAAAGGTATTAGCTATAAGTTAATCATCACTTCCAATCACCAAATAAGTAAAATTATGTGCTGAGCCAGTTCCTATCTTAGTTTTGATGGAACTCGCCTTTGTCTCTTGTATTTCTTCTGGCCATCTTCTGTCACTGCTGCAGGATCTGCCTGAGTAAGCTTCAACTCTCTCTGATTCAGAGGCTTGCCTATTGATTTGCCGTCATCATTAACATTGTCCGGATCACATGAACTTATGTCAGTATCATTTGTATGACTTGAGCCTACAAAAGCAATGTGATCTGGGGCCCGTTCTTTCCTTTTGCCACCATCACTTTGTACAGAATCAGCATCTGGCGTATCACCCTGCATCGCTTCAGCAACTGAATGCACAGATGACACTGGAAGCTTCGGTGAAGGAGATTTGGGACTATTCAGATTACCCTGCTGAGTGGAGGGGCTCGCATCTTTCTTTAAAGTGGTGGGGGAGTCTGAAGGCACAGTGGTTTCAGTACAATGTGGCTCCAGTACAGGAGGCTCTGTCTTGGAGTAAGTGTCTGGTCCATCAACCTGCATCGCCACCCTATCAGAGTCTGCATGCATGGGCAACACTTTATGATCTCGCGGAGAAGGTTGAGAGACCACTGAACTGCCTTTAGTGTAGGGAGTCTCATCAAGCATTTCAAGTTTAGAGTCCGGTTGTTCTAGAGTCTGCGAATGTTGTAGCTTCAAAACTTGAGGGTCAGGTGTGGGTGGCGAGACTTCAATGCCTCCATCTGTGTTCTCTACCTGTCTGGCACTCACCAGTGCAGGACGAGAAGAATCCACCGGTACTGGTGTAGTATCCTCCCTCAAAAAATTAGGTTTCATGTTGGTCAGCTGTGGAAGTGAACTCTGATAACCTCGGGGATAGAATTGTGGGTCTGACGTTGATGGATTAGCAGCATATGGAGAAGCTTCTCTACTTCCAGTTATGTCATCCAACTCAATCATCTCTGATTGAATGGCGTCTCGTAATTCTGGCAGAGGGGAGTCCCCCATGAGTGGTGTAGCGAAAGGCTCAAAATCCTGATCCACAATTTTGCGGGGTCGTGAAATATTTGGTCCCAGTGAAGAAGATGGTGTTGGTGATGCTGATCCTAGTGAAGTTGGGCAATACGAGCCGAAGCCACTGCCTGCACTCACCAGTCGTCCACTTATTCCACCTCTCCTCCTCGGTTTACATCGCTTAGTCTTAGGACCCACTGGGATGGCCAACTGTGTCGATAGCGAAGACTGGTTCCCATTATTCATTTGCAAAGCAGATGCACAAATGTCACGAATCTTCCCAAGGGCCTGTAAGATGGGGTTTTCTGCAAGATCCAACGACAGCGACATAGCCTCTTGCTTCAAACTATCTGGTTATACGAGCAATGGAATTAACGTCAGACCATTAGATGGCTCCAGTGCAAATAAAGTTAGCTTAGGATAGGAAAGTAATCATACCTGTAATTTCCAAATTCATTTGTATCATGTTTGGATCTGTAGTATCATGGAAATCGGGTGAATTTAGTGAAGAATCCCATGTCTGTGGTGTGTCTGGAAGGTCACCATTTGCAGGAAGAACATTTGACTGCGATGGAAAATTATACTCTGCCAGTGAAGTGGATGGTGTACCCGGTAAGTGTGGAATTCTTTTTCGGCTTTCACTAGCTGATCCTCCTGTAAACCCACCTCTCTTCTTTGGTCTACCTCTCTGTACCTTTGGTGGAATAGCTGGGGATGCATCCATTAGGTTCGCATCGGGACATGCAGTGAGACGGTAGTCCTCGTGAGCTGCCCTCAATGAATGTACACATATATCCTGAATCTCTCTGAGAACATCATGCCTTGAGACCTCATGGCCTTGGTACATAGCATCACTGGCACGATGGTATATTCTTTGTAAGCTCTGGGCCTGCAATATATTAGCAAGTCAAAAATCCAAGTATGAAAACAAGCAAAAAGATCATATCGAAGTTTCATACCATTGACTCCATATCACCCCCAACTCCTTGATATCCAGTATTTGGACGAGTAGCAGGATTTCCAATCAAGAGACGGGTAATGCGTTCATACCACAACTTATACGGATCACTCTGATCCATTGGACCGTCAATGGGAGGTGTAGAAAAAATGCGAGCAAACCGGTCTGTCCACATATCAACAAACTGCCTGTGATGATGGGCCCAGTCGTAATTTTGTCTTCCACGGCGATCAGTCAAATGGATGTCTGGGATAGTGTCACAAACTGCAGGGATAGTTTGTTGCTGCCCAAACTGACGTAGAGCACGGTCAGGATGGTGAAACTCCACCACATCAAAGCAGATGAGAGGAGACACTGTCTGCCAAATTCTTCTTCCTGATATGCAATACTGAGGAAGGCTGGCCAAGACATCATCGGGGTATGGCTCCCATACAAACTAAAACATAAAGTAGATCTTAAATACTAGTTAGTGCATTAATGCAATACGGCCGCCAATTGCGATTACAAATAAAAGGCACCTGGTCATCCTTCATATTATCTAGTTGGTCTCTGTACAAGACTAAAACATGTGTTCCCACACTATCCAACTTGAAACCAACATTCCACCTACAAACAATGTATATTTTATGTTAAAAACAAACATGTTGTGAGGACAATTTTGCTCACTAGTTGTTTCTGTATCCACCAGTATACCTGGAACCGTAAGGGGCAGCAGGCAAAGGATGCTCTCCAGAAACTATATCAGGACATGGCTGCTGTTGGGGTACTAACCTCCCAGGACGGATGAAAGGCATTCTCTCCCATGCCCAGATCTTAATAATATTCGTGCAGACAAAAAATCTCATTATTAAGGTTTCTATTCAGACATAATAGACAGCAAAGATGTATCAAAGACACCTCATTGAGATTATATGATTTGTAATACCTGCAAAAGTACTAGTGGCCCGCATATATCTGATGTCTCAGGCTTGGTTGCTCGGCACAAAGCACGGTAAAGACAAGAGAGCACAGCGCTACCCCAGCTTAGCCTGCCAGCAGCCTCAAAATCCCTAAGCAGGGGCAAGTACATTAACTTCACCTTATTATTAGACATGTCTGACAATAATTGCCCCCCAAGAAGCTGCAAAATGTATGCTCTAGCATAAAACTGCATTGTATCCTTTGATGCACCTTCGGGTAATGTCTTAAATCTCTCCTGTAAGCATCGGATCTTAAGGCGGCCACGATCAAAATCCTCTGGAGGTGGTTTGAATCCTAAAAGTTCATTACATATATCCTGCCACTCCTCCATGGACCGATTTGTATCGACACCAGTGATAGGATCACCGTCTACAGGTAGACCCCACAACACAGAAATATCCTGTAAGGTGACTGTGGCCTCACCAACTGGCAAATGGAAAGTATGTGTTTCTGGGCGCCATCTCTCGACCAATGCGGTTATCAAAGCATGATCTAGTCGTATACGGCCTGCCTTGTACACCCCATAAAAACCTGCTTGCAGCATGAGTTGCTGTACTTGAGGGTCCAAAGCACCGAGACGCCAGAAATGGCCATCACATCTCCTGCAGGTCAGAGGCTCAAAGTCCTGACCGTCCCATATTGCGGTAGATCTGTGATGATCCTGTAAAGTAAGTATAGAATCGTCAATGGGTCCAGGATGTAATGTGTGACTCAGTCCAGCATCCATCTTTATCCAATACCTGAAAAAGGTTAATCATAGATGCATATGAAAAGGAATACCCATATTAAAGGGACTTTTATTGAAGACAAAACAAAATTACTTCCCCCATAACAAAATTTAATGCTTTCCTTTCAGAGTTCAAATGTATCAAAATAGGTTTACTTCCTTAAAACCAAATATATAATATTATTCCAACTAGTACAATTCATGTATCTAGTTTCAATGCTGAAAGGCAAAACAAAATGAATTTCTGACCCTCGTAAAAGTCTCATTGATCTTTAAATTTCACTTTAACCTCATACCTTTATATAACTATATAGGATTAAAGATGTCATCGAATTTCATAACTAGAAGAAATTCTTAAGAGATACATAAAGAAATAAACATGGTAGATTTTTCCAACTAGTCAAGCAATTTATTTTCTGATCATGCACCCTTCAACACTGGATAAATCCACCTCAACATAATATGACTCTTACTTGGGGCAAATTTTTTAATTTAATAACAATGGTTTATTTACGACCATCACCACACCCAAAAGGAAAAGAAAAGGAAAAGAATAAACAAGGCACAGCAGACCCATCGAGAAATCTGAATCTTAGCTGAGAAAATTTAATTAGCAAGGATAACAGTGGGGATAATGACCGCACAAAATTCTGGAATAACATAAAAAGATTGATTTCATGATATTTATGTTTTCCCTCTGCGTTTTGAACACTTTGAAAACTTCTAATCCACATAATGCACCCCATACATTGGCCACCCCTTTCAACCCTTAGAATCAAAGGCTTGTGAAGGAGGCAAACAAATTTTTTGTTTACTCCTGTGTTAGGTCATTATTGGCCTCTGCTTACCTATAAATTTTACTGGCAACTTTTTCATCTATGCTTGAGGTAAAAAGAGCATACCTTGAGAGGGAGGGGGTACTTGGTTATGAGATGAGAATATGTACTGCCTAATACCTACAGTTGTTTTACCTTTCTATTCCAATCAGTGAAGTATTTAGCATTTTAAGCAACTCTTTTCAACTTTGAGAAGATTTGAGTTTTGATTCCACCTTAGTGCTTTTTTACTAGGCAAGCTTTCTCAGCAGCAATTACTACTCATCTAATGTCAGCTCTTCCTTACTTTTATGTGAGAACTCTTCACAGATATAACAACTCAAACTATTATACTTGCTGTAAAAATTGCCAAAAAATAAAAAAAATAAAAAATGGATAGATAACAAAATATAAATCACGATATTTCCAAATTCAAAAAGTAGGTCCCATGAGTCGATACGTATGCCTTGAGAAGATTAAGAAATTAAAGTAACTGAAGCAAGCATGTTCTTTAATACGTATTTGCACAGCTCCAATCCATTCATCAAAAAAAAAAAAAAAACGCTAGAGGAACCATATAAATTAGCAAGACAAAAACTTTATGAAAATACATTATCCACAAATTTTATTTAGGGTTTCGGAAATTAAATCAATCATTCATGGAAATTCTACAATTATATCAGCAAAATAAGATATTTAAAGAAGATAAATTCTCATTTTAGCATCATCCCCACAAAATTCAGACATTAAATCAACAGATTTTCAGAAAACTAAATAAATCTTAAAAAGTCAAAATAAATTGTTACCCCGAGCCAACACGGACCACCTTCAGCGTAGCTAAGCTCTGCCAACCTTTAAATCACTCCAACATACACATACAATTTCTGTATCTGCAACAGCTTATGAAGATCTCACAAATGTAAAGATCAACGAGAAAATTGAACAGGTTTTTTGAGTTTAATTCCGTAGCCAAAAAAGGAGTGAGCGAGAGTGAGAGCGAAATAGTAAAATTCCAACGGCTACTCAAATATGTGATTCTGCAGAGAGATCGCCATTAGAAACGCTTTCACGACTTAGCATTATACGCGTTTTGAGAAAACAGATTAACGTAGGTTTTTTTGTTTGGAAGTACGAAGATAACCTAGAATCGTCCATCTAATGGGAGTCTATTTATTTAATTATTTTGGGTTTTCACTTTTCAACAATTTGCAAATTACTTCTCAACTATAGACTTAATGTCCATATTGTCCCTATAAACTTTGCCCCCGTTTTTCTTCCTTTAAAATAAAAATCTTTAATTCTTGTACTCATTTTCAACTACACATTCACACAACAAAATTTTTCCTACATTTTAAACACACATTCTCTAAAAAATTATTATTTAAAACATTATTTTTCTCAATAATGGTCATCCAACAGAGTTTTAATAAATAAGTCTATTTGAATCTTCCAAACCTATTATGGTCCTTTTAGCGAGACTTTCACTTTTGATTTTGTTTCTTTTAGAAGAAAACTAACTTACATCAACTTATTCTAAAACAATAATGCTCCAAGTACAGGAGCATTATTGTCAGGGGCCTCACAGGCACCTCACTGTGTCGAGGCCCCACATGTGAATAATAAAAAAAAAAATTTGGGGGGGGGGGAAAAAAAAAAAAAAAATTTGGCCCCCCCCCCCCCCCCGGCAGGGCCTGTAAGTCAGGCCCCTGTACTCCAAGCATGGCCCATTCTAAAATCCTTTTTAGTCAAACAATGTACTTCTCGACAATTATCTAAATAGGTTAATGAATAATTTTGATCCATATTAAAATTCTCATTTTCATTCTTCTACTCATTTTTCAACCACACATTTTTCAATAAAATAATATTTTCTATCACATCAATAACTTTTCCTTCTTTTCCAACGACACATTTTTTCATCAATTTACTATTTCAAAATACATCTTTCCAAAATAACGTGGCTCAAACACACTAGTCTAATAAAAAAAACTTTTGACTATCCTAAAACTTTGTCAAACGGTCCCTAAATGTTGATAAGAATAGTAATTATGGTGCATTTGATTACGAGTATGAAATTTACATGGAAATAAAATAAATTTTAGGGAATTCAATTACTTAGAACTTATTTATATAGAAATTATTAATTAAATGTGTTTGATTAATTTAATTTTCAATTTAGAAAATATTATACTTGTCAATTTCTTATTGGTGGATAGATGAGAGAGAATGATAGTAAATTACTTGAAAAATAAAAATCACCTCTTCATAAAGAAAACATTATTTTCAAGGAAAATATGATCACATAATCAAAAATATGAAATTATTTTAAGTGGAAAAATTGTCAATCAAACTGCACAAAAATAGGAATTTAGGTAGAGAAACATATTTTCATGAAAAATATTGATAATCAAACGCACCCAGTTGTTATCTTACAAGGACATATATCTGCTTGGACAGTATAGTATAAGCTTTCGCCACACATGTAACTCGGTAACGAAAACATCATCTTGGGCAAACAGGCTACCTAAACAACAGACTAATGAAACAGCATACAGGACAAGATTCTGTATCCTGACTTAGAGCCTGTTTGTTTTGAATTAAAATTTGATTTTAATCTAAGTCAAAGTCAAACAATTAATATTAACAACATCTTTCTGTTCCAGTCAGATGAGCTGTAAGTATCATAAACTAGAAACCAAAAAGTAAAGGGCAAGTTTCTGCAGCTATCTCATCAGCGCACTTTACCTTAAGGATGAAAAACTATGCATCATTTCTATGTAAATATAAGGTAGGGGCCTGATCAAGATCCCCTTATTCAATGAGTAAAGATGCCGTATCTGTGAGCATGGAGTTGGACTTTGAAATTAGAATTAGATTGTTTTAATTTGAAAATAAAGTTGAGCGATTTATTTCTAGTTCGAATAATGTAAGTTCAATGATACGTGGACTACGAGGATACAACAGATAGAAAAACTTCTGGAGTCCATGGCAAGGTCACTGTGCTTAGAAGAGGACAGCTTTTTGAAGAAATTTGGTGAGTGCAGAGTAATTGATGCAAGATTCAACAATTATCCGCCATGTCCCAGGCTAGATTTTGCTCTTGGAGTCAAGCCACATGCAAATGGATCTCCTGCAAGGAAAAAAAAAAAAGTAGGAGGTCTCCAAGTCATCAAAGATATCAGTGTGTTGTACAACTGCAATAAATAGTGGCTGATCTTGCTGAATTCACTTCATTTCCTGAGTATCACTGCTGCAACAACTTCTTGATGCTTTTACTGCATTATTTTGTATTGTATATCTACTCAAGCCAAGTTCTTTTGAATCAATTACAAAAGCTGTAACTCACCCTTCTATCTACAATTAGCCTTCATCACTGATCTAGGATTTGGCCTTAATCACCATTTTATGTCCTACTCTAAACTTTATTTAGAGACTGATCCAATCAACCAAGATGTTCCTGAAAAACAAGAAGAAAACGAAATACATATTGAGCACCTCGTCTCTACCTTCAATCCATGATCCCATGTACGAGCTACTAAAGGTGGACTCTTACTTCTTATAGATTCGATCACCACAAGATGAACCAGGAAATACAAAAATAGATTATCCATCAAGAAACCTAGTAAATCTATGTTCTTATAGTTAACCGCATCAGAAAGATGAAAGGGAGCTTATAGGTTAACCATGTTTCAATCGTAGACCTATAACAAAGGAGTCTGGACGAACGGAGAAGCTTGTTGATGAGAAAAGACATATTCTGTTCAAATTATCTTATACTCTAGACAGATGCTATTTCAGCATGATAGCATGTTCACCAGTGTTCTTAGAATCATATTACAGAACTTGGTCGACTAAGTTATAGGTAAAAGTTTAAGCGCACAAGTATATCACGGCATAATTCTCATATATTGCCAAAGGGCCAAGGAAGCTAAAAAGGTTTTCCCAACTTAAAATTTTAAACATCATTTAGGAAGTAGTCAGAAGACGAGTAGATAATCAATACACACTAAAATTAAATAGAAGAAATGAATAAAGAGGAAATTAAGCTCATATTTGTTTCTCATTCTTTCAAAACTACTTTTTTCTACATATTCATTTTTAACCACACATTTACATAATAAATTATTCTACATGTAAACTCAAAAATTTTCCTTACTTTTTAATCCTACTATCTCTGAAAATTAACTATTAAAAACAATATTTTTCCCCAAAAAAAAAAAAAAAATGGTCACCGAAGAGGGGCTATGGAGATGGGTTGCCACATTTTGAGAGCCCAACTTAAAATTAATCCAGTAAGATATTTAAGCCCAAAACCCGGTCCATTATTGATCCAATTATCATATGATTCCACAAGAGTTAAAAGCGTGTTTGGTACTTGATTAAATACACGCCTTCATTGGATGCTAGACACTTGGAAGGATTTGCATGGTTGGGTCTTTTTTTTTTTGCTTATGCGCCTTTAGGGTTTTACTCTTGCACTCGTCTATCTTCGTCTTTGTGATATCTCTCCCTGTGCATATTATTGGTTATCAATTAGATGATCTTTGAGTGATTTCTTTGTGAGATTATTGTAAATTGAGAGAATGGTTTAGTAATACATATAATTTTATGAGTGATTGCTGTAAAAGAGAGTTTGAGAGATTAGGGTTTCGTGAACCCTTTGTTGTTTTTGTGTTGTACTCGATCTTTGCCTATTTTTTGGGTTTTATAGTGGATTCGAACAATATGCTTAGAGATACTCAATGAGAGATTAAGCGTTAGAAGCGGTCGCTAAACCTCTGTGGCCTTTGACCGAAAAATCTTGTGTTCGTGCTGTCTTAAGTATTTTCTTTATTGTCTTTACCAAATCAATTTGAGTTACAAACGTAGATTCGTTTTTATCTGGGACCATGTTACAGTAGGGCAAGTCAGCTAGAATGGGGAGACAAAGGCAAGAGGAACACCAGGAAGAAGACGGCAAGCTACTACAGGGAAGAAGAAGTCTGCCGCCAATTTTAAAATCAAAGCCCAAGACGCCGTCGTTTTAACTTGGATTAAACGGTGTCGTTTTGATTTCCAAATTTTAATTGTAATTAGGAGCACATTTTATCCATTTTGTTGCTGAAAATGCGTTCCTTCTTTGGGTATAACAGGAGGGAAATGAGGAAAGAAAGACGTGAATTGATTTGTGCGAAGTTCCCTCTCAAATTTCTCTTTACCTTCTCTCTTCTTCTCTCTTTCTTTTTCTTAATAACTCTTTCAATTCTGTAATGGCAATTTCAGTTTCGATTGAATAAAATTGTTCTTCATTTTGGAATTCATTAGTTTGAGCTGTGTTGTGGTTACATTTAGCTGATTTAAGGTTGAGTTTTAGCTCAACCATAACAATTGGTATCAGAGCAGTACGTAACTTGGGCGATATGGCTGAAACTAGAAGCAAATCGAATGAAGATCATTTGAACAGGTTAGACAGAAAAGTGTTAGATCTGGTTGTGGTTGCAAAATCATTGGAGGAAAAGTTGAAAGTTGTATGTACCAAGCAAGACAAGATGGAGCAATTGATGGTAGAAATGGAAAGTAAAAATGAATTGATCATTTCAATGTTGACTAATATGATTGGAGCTAAATCAGTCTCGAAAGATCAGTTCAACCATTATGATTCTGCTGTTATGGACAGAGATGAAGCAGTGGAAGATGGCAGTGAAATGGCTGGGTCCGTTCTTGATGTTGGGGATTTAGAACTTGGTAAAAAGGTTGGGGAAGAATTGGCGCCAGTGGTTGACACAAAAGTGGAGACGGTGGTTGTGAGAGAGGAATCAAAGGTACCTGATGCTAAAACTGAGATAGAGATTAAGCTAGAGATAGGTGAGACAGAGAAGCTTGAATATGAGGAAGTATCGACGGCTGATGCTATAGACTACAAGGAGAAGGTTGTTGAATTAAATGATTCAGAAATTGAGGTTGCTGACAAAGGAACTGTAGAAGAGATTTCATTTGGTGCTTTAATTGGAAGCTTGAAACATAAAAATATTAGAGTTACTGGGATGATCAAGGGGAGGAAAATATCAATTCTCATTGATAGTGAAAGTGCCCACAGCTTTGTGGATGAAAGGTTGATCAAGGAACTGAACCATACCACTAGTGTGGAGACAAAATAGAAAGCAAAGCTATCTATCAGCCTTTAGTGTGGAGAGTGCATGACTGGGAATTTCAATTCAATCTAAGAACCTTGAAATTGGGGAGGAGGGGGGGGAAGTGATATGGTTTTAGGAGTAAATTGGTTGAGCCAATTTAGCCCTACTCTTTTTCATGTTGAACAGGGATTTATCAGATTCAAACACCACAATGAGGAGGTGGAATTGAGGAATGAAATATCAGAGAGTCCAATTAAGATGAAGAAGATAAAGGAGCTAGATAAGATGTTTGACAAGGGAGCCCGTGGAGCTGTAGGGAAACTGTGTTTCCTCGTCGAGAATAACAAAAATGAGACTCTTGCCAAGATCACAGAGGGGATTGAACAATTTCCTAAGGTCTTTGAGGAGCCGAAAGGGTTACCTCCTCCCAGGTCACATGAACACAACATTTCATTGACTGAGACAATACATCCATTCAGAATCAGACCTTATAGGCATCCTTTTATCCAGAAAAAGGTCACATGAACACAACATTTCATTGACTGAGAGAATACATCCATTCAGAATCAGACCTTATAGGCATCCTTTTATCCAGAAAATCGACATAAAAAGGCTAGTGGTGGAGATTCGGAGATACAAATTAAACGAACAGTTAAAGGAAAAGCTTTCACAAGCAAGTACAAGGGTAAAGCTTTATGCTGGTAAAAAGATATTAGAACGGTCATTGGTAGAAGGTGATTCGATTTTTCTGAAGCTACTCCCGTATGCACAAAAGTTAGTGGAACATAGTTCTAACCATAAACTAAGTGCTAGGTGTTTTGGTCCATATCAGGTTATAAAGAAGGTAGGAGCAGTAGCCTTCCAATTGGCATAACCTAAAGGATCAAGCATTTATCCTTTGCTTCATGTGTCCTTGTTGAAAAAGAAGATTGGGGAGAAGGAGGTCCCAATTTATGCACTCCCGAATCAACAAAAAAGCAAGGAGAATCAGGCAAAAGCAATGCAAGTCTTATCAACCAGATTGATCGAAAAAACTGGTATAGCTATGACTCAATTGCTAGTTCACTGGGAAGGAACTATCCCAGATGATGATACCTGGGAGGAATCCGTAGAAGTGCAACCCAAATTTTTGGCATCTCAACCTTGGGGACAAGGTTATGCTAAGGGGGA